TTGATCTACAAATTTTGTAATTCATTGTCAATTTTAATCTTTTGTCTTTTTATATCATTCTCGCATAAATATCTCTGTTCTCTTCATTCTCTCTAAACATTGATCTACAAATTTTGTTTCATTGTCAATTTTAATCTTTTGTCTTTTTTAATATCTCGCATAAATCTCTCTGTTCCATTCTCTCTAGTCAACATCTTCAAATTTTCTCTCTTGTCAATTTTAATTTTTGATCTTTTTTAATTTTGTTCTCATTCATTGTCAATTTTAATCTTTTTGATTTTTTTAATATCAGTTCTCGCTTTTTAATATCTCTCTGTTCCGTCTTTCTGTCTTCATTCTCTAGTCAACATTGATCTACAAATTTTTGTAATTCATTGTCAATTTTAATCTTTTGTCTTTTTTAATATCTGTTCTCGCATAAATATCTCTGTTCCGTCTTCATTCTCTCTAGTCAACATTGATCTACAAATTTTGTAATTCATTGTCAATTTTAATCTTTTGTCTTTTTTATATCAGTTCTCGCATAAATATCTCTGTTCCGTCTTCATTCTCTCTAGTCAACATTGATCTACAAATTTTGTAATTGTCATTTTTAATCAATTTTTAATATCAGTTCTTTAAATATTCTGTTCCGTCTTCATTCTCTCTATTCTAAATATCTCTTTTCCTTTTTCATTTTCTCTCAGTCAAAATTGATCTACAAATTTTGTAATTCATTGTCAATTTTAAATCTTTTGTCTTTTTTAATATCAGTTCTCATAAATATCTCTGTTCCGTCTTCATTCTCTCTAGTCAACATTGATCTACAAATTTTGTAATTCATTGTCAATTTTAATCTTTTGTCTTTTAATATCTGTTCTCGCATAAATATCTCTGTTCCGTCTTCATTCTCTCTAGTCAACATTGATCTACAAATTTTGTAATTCATTGTCAATTTTAATCTTTTGTCTTTTTAATATCTGTTCTCGCATTAAATATCTCTGTTCCGTCTTCATTCTCTCTAGTCAACATTGATCTACAAATTTTGTAATTCATTGTCAATTTTAATCTTTTGTCTTTTTAATATCAGTTCTCGCATAAATATCTCTGTTCCGTCTTCATTCTCTCTAGTCAACATTGATCTACAAATTTTGTAATTTCATTGTCAATTTTTTTGTTTTTTCTTTTTAATATCAGTTCTCGCATAAATATCTCTGTTCCGTCTTCATTCTCTCTAGTCAACATTGATCTACAAATTTTGTAATTCATTCTCAATTTTAATCTTTTTGTCTTTTTAATATCAGTTCTCGCATAAATATCTCTGTTCCGTCTTCATTTCTAGTCAACATTGATCTACAAATTTTGTAATTCATTGTCAATTTTAATCTTTTGTTTTTAATATCTCTCGCATAAATATCTCTGTTCCGTCTTCATTCTCTCTAGTCAACATTGATCAAATTTTGAATCTTGTCAATTTTAAATTTTTGTTTTTAATATTGTCTCGCATTTTCTGTTCCGTCTTTTTTCTCTTTTTTATATCTGTTTTTAATCTTTTGTCTTTTAATATCAGTTCTCGTTAAATATCTCTGTTTCCGTCTTCATTCTCTCTAGTCAACATTGATCTACAAATTTTTTAATTCATTGTCAATTTTAATCTTTTGTCTTTTTAATATCTGTTCTCGCATAAATATCTCTGTTCCGTCTTCATTCTCTCTAGTCAACATTGATCTACAAATTTTGTAATTCATTGTCAATTTTAATCTTTTGTCTTTTTTAATATCTGTTCTCGCATAAATATCTCTGTTCCGTCTTCATTCTCTCTAGTCAACATTGATCTACAAATTTTTGTAATTCATTGTCAATTTTAATCTTTTGTCTTTTTAATATCTGTTCTCGCATAAATATTGATCTACTTTTTTTCCTTTTGTCTTCATTTCTCTAGTCAAACATTGATCTACAAATTTTGTAATTCATTGTCAATTTTAATCTTTTGTCTTTTTTAATATCAGTTCTCTCATAAATATCTCTGTTCCGTCTTCATTCTCTCTAGTCAAAATTGATCTACAAATTTTGTAATTCATTGTCAATTTTAATCTTTTTTTTAATATCTGTTCTCGCATAAATATCTCTGTTCCGTCTTCATTCTCTCTCTAGTCAACATTGATCTACAAATTTTGTAATTCATTGTCAATTTTAATCTTTTTTCTTTCTCTTTTAATATCAGTTCTCGCATAAATATCTCTGTTCCGTCTTCATTCTCTCTAGTCAAAATTGATCTACAAATTTTGTAATTCATTGTCAATTTTAATATTTTGTCTTTTTAATATCTGTTCCCGCAAAAATATCTCTGTTCCGTCTTCATTCTCTCTAGTCAACATTGATCTACAAGTTTTGTAATTCATTGTCAAATTTAATCTTTTGTCTTTTTAATATCAGTTCTCGCATATATATCTCTGTTCCGTCTTCATTCTCTCTAGTCAACATTGATCTACAAATTTTGTAATTCATTGTCAATTTTTGTCTTTCTTTTAATCTTTTGTCTTTTTTCTTGTCATTGATCTTTCTTTTTGTTCTCGTCTCTAAATATCTCTGTTCCGTCTTCATTCTCTCTAGTCAACATTGATCTACAAACTTTGTAATTCATTGTCAATTTTAATCTTTTGTCTTTTTAATATCAGTTCTCGCATAAATATCTCTGTTTCCGTCTTCATTCTCTCTAGTCAACATTGATCTACAAATTTTGTAATTCATTGTCAATTTTAATTTTTTTGTCTATTTAATATCTGTTCTCGCATAAATATCTCTGTTCCGTCTTCATTCTCTCTAGTCAAGATTGATCTACAAATTTTGTAATTCATTGTCAATTTTAATCTTTTGTCTTTTTAATATCAGTTCTCGCATAAATATCTCTGTTCCGTCTTCATTCTCTCTAGTCAACATTGATCTACAAATTTTGTAATTCATTGTCAATTTTAATCTTTTGTCTTTTTTTCCTATCAGTTCTCGCATAAATATCTCTGTTCCGTCTTCATTCTCTCTTGTCAACATTGATCTACAAAGTTTGTAATTCATTGTCAATTTTAATCTTTTGTCTTTTTAATATCAGTTCTCGTATAAATATCTCTGTTCCGTCTTCATCCTCTCTAGTCAACATTGATCTACAAATTTTGTAATGCATTGTAAATTTTAATCTTTTGTCTTTTTAATATCATATCTGTTCTCGCATAAATATCTCTGATTTTCTCTCTTTCATTCTCTCTTTTTAATTCATTGTCAAATTCTTTTTACAAAATTTGTTCCGTCTTCATTCATTTAGTCAATTTTAATCTTTTGTCTTTTTTCTATCTTTTTTCGTCTTCTCTGTTCTTTCTTCATTTCTCTAGTCAACATTGATCTACAAATTTTTTAATTCATTGTCAATTTTAATCTTTTGTTCTTTTTTAATTTTTTTATCTGTTCTCGCATAAATATCTCTGTTCCGTCTTCATTTCTCTAGTCAACATTGATCTTTTTAATTTTGTAATTCATTTCAATTTTTGATCTACAATTTTGTCTTTTTTTTATCAGTTCTCGCATAAATATCTCTGTTCCGTCTTCATTCTCTCTAGTCAACATTGATCTACAAATTTTGTAATTCATTGTCAATTTTAATCTTTTGTCTTTTTAATATCTCTTCTCGCATAAATATCTCTGTTCCGTCTTCATTCTCTCTAGTCAACATTGATCTACAAATTTTGTAATTCATTGTCAATTTTAATCTTTTGTCTTTTTTAATATCTGTTCTCGCATAAATATCTCTGTTCCGTCTTCATTCTCTCTAGTCAACATTGATCTACAAATTTTGTAATTCATTGTCAATTTTTGTCTTTTTTGTCTTTTTAATATCTGTTCTCGCATAAATATCTCTGTTCCGTCTTTGTCATTCTCTCTAGTCAACATTTCTCGCATATCTACAAATTTTGTAATTTTTAATTCATTGTCAATTTTAATCTTTTGTCTTTTTAATATCTGTTCTCGCATAAATATCTCTGTTCCGTCTTCATTCTCTCTAGTCAACATTGATCTACAAATTTTGTAATTCATTGTCAATTTTAATCTTTTGTCTTTTTAATATCTGTTCTCGCATAAATATCTCTGTTCCGTCTTCATTCTCTCTAGTCAACATTGATCTACAAATTTTTTTTCATTGTCAATTTTAATCTTTTGTCTTTTTTAATATCTTTCTCGCATAAATATCTCTGTTTTGTCTTCATTCTCTCTAGTCAACATTGATCTACAAATTTTGTTTTGTCAATTTTAATCTTTTGTCTTTTTAATATCTCTTCTCGCATAAATATCTCTTTCCGTCTTCATTCTCTCATTCTTCAACATTTTTAATTCAAATTTTGTAATTTTTCATTGTCAATTTTAATTCTTTGATTTTTCTTTTGTCTTTTCAATTTTAATTTTTTGTCTTTTTTATCTTTTCTCGCATAAATATCTCTCTTTTTCGTCTTTCATTCTCTCTAGTCAAAATTGATCTACAAATTTTGTAATTCATTGTCAAATTTTAATCTTTTTGTCTTTTTTAATATCTCTTCTCGTATAAATATCTCTGTTTCTCTTTCATTCTCTCTAGTCAACATTGATCTACAAATTTTGTAATTCATTTTTCAATTTTAATCTTTTGTCTTTTTAATATCAGTTCTCGCATAAATATCTCTGTTCCGTCTTCATTCTCTCTAGTCAACATTGATCTACAAATTTTGTAATTCATTGTCAATTTTAATCTTTTGTCTTTTTAATATCTGTTTTCTTTCATAAATATCTGTTCCGTCTTCATTCTCTCTAGTCAACTTGATCTACAAATTTTTTTTCATTGTCAATTTTAATCTTTTGTCTTTTTAATATCATCTCTCTTAAATATCTCTTTCCGTCTTCATTCTCTCTAGTCAATTCATTGAAATTTTTTTGTCTTTTGTCAATTCATTCTTTTGTCAATCAGTTCTCTTTAATTCTTTTTTCCGTCTTTTTTAATATTGATGTTCTTTTCATTGTCATTTTTAATCTTTGGTTTTTTAATATCATTTCTCTTTTTTATCTCTTTTCTTTTCTTCTCTCCTATCAACATTGATCTACAAATTTTGTTTTTCATTGTCAATTTAATCTTTTGTCTTTTTAATATCTTTCTCGCATAAATCTCTTTTCCGTCTTCTTTTCTCTAGTCAACATTGATCTACAAATTTTTTAATTCATTGTCAATTTTAATCTTTTCTTTTTAATATCTGTTCTCGCATAAATATCTCTGTTTCCGTCTTCATTCTCTCTAGTCAACATTCATTCTACAAATTTTTTAATTCATTGTCAATTTTCTCTTTTGTCTTTTTTTTCTTTCTCTTCTCGCATTCAATATCTCTGTTTTTTGTCTTTTTTATTCTCTCTAGTCAACATTGATCTTTTGCTTTTTGTAATTCATTTCAATTTTAATCTTTTTCTTTTTTTTATCTTTTCTCGCATAAATATCTCTGTTTTCAAGCATTCTCTCTAGTCAACATTGATCTACAAATTTTGTAATTCATTCATTCAATTTTAATCTTTTGTCTTTTTAATATCAGTTCTCGCATAAATTTCTCTTTCCGTCTTCATTCTCTCTAGTCAAAAATTGATCTACAAATTTTTTTAATTCATTTCAATTTTAATTTTTTTTTCTTTTTTTTTATCTTTTCTCGCATTTTCAAATATCTCTGTTCCGTCTTCATTCTCTCTATTCAACATTGATCTACAAATTTTTTTCATTGTCAATTTTAATCTTTTGTTTTTTTTTTTATCAGTTCTCGCATTCAATATCTCTGTTCCGTCTTCATTCTCTCTAGTCAACATTGATCTACAAATTTTGTAATTCATTGTCAATTTTCATCTTTTTTTCTTTTTTTTGTTTCAGTTCTCATTCTTTGGTTTTCAATATCTCTGTTCCGTCTTCATTCTCTCTAGTCAAAATTCATCTACAAATTTTGTCCTTTCATTTGTCAATTTTAATCTTTTTGTCTTTTTTTGGTTCTCAAAATATCTCTCTTCCGTCTTCATTCTCTCTTGTCAACATTGATCTACAAATTTTGTAATTCATTTCTGTTTTTTTTTGTCTTTTTAATATCTTTTCTCGCATAAATATCTCTGTTCCGTCTTCATTCTCTCTAGTCAACATTTTTCTACAAATTTTGTAATTCATTTTTGTCCTTTTTTTGTCTTTTAATTCTTTTTTGGTTTTCAAGTTCTCTCTTTTGATTCTTTTGCTTTTTTTTATATTCTCTGTTTCATTCTTCATTTTTTCTAGTCAACATTGATCTACTTTCTTTTGTTTTTTAATCTTTTCTCTTTTTAATTCTCAATTTTTCTTTTTCTTCTCTCTATTCATTCTGTCCTTTTTTTAATTTTTGTTTTTTTCTTATCTGTTCTCGCATAAATATCTCTGTTCCGTCTTCATTCTCTCTAGTCAAAATTGATCTACAAATTTTGTAATTCATTGTCAATTTTAATCTTTTTTCTTTTTAATATCAGTTCTCGCATAAATATCTCTGTTCCGTCTTCATTCTCTCTAGTCAACATTGATCTACAAATTTTGTAATTCATTGTCAATTTTAATCTTTTTTCTTTTTTAATATTTTTAGTTCTCGCATTCATCTCTGTTCCTCTTCATTCTCTCTAGTCAACATTGATCTACAAATTTTGTTTTTCATTGTCAATTTTAATCTTTTGTCTTTTTATCAAGCATCTCTCTTAAATATCTCTGTTCGTCTTCATTCTCTCTAGTCAAAATTGATCTACAAATTTTTGTAATTCATTGTCAATTTTAATCTTTTCTTTTTTGATTCTTTCTCGCATTCTTTTCTCTGTTCCGTCTTCATTCTCTCTTTTGTCTTTTTTTATCTTTCAAATTTTTCTCTTTTGATTCATTTTGCTTTTTTCTGTTCCGTCTTCATTCTTCCTTTTTTTTGTCTTTTTGTAATTCTTTCTTTTGTTTTTTTTCTCTCTCTTTTGTTTCTTTTGCTTTCATTCTCTCCCTATTCAACATTCATCTACTGTCTTTTTTTTTTTTTAAAATCTTTTCAATTTTAATCTTTTTTTTTAATCATCTCTCTTTTTATTCTTTTCTTTTTTTAAATATCTCTGTTCCGTCTTCATTCTCTCTAGTCAACATTGATCTACAAATTTTTGTAATTCATTGTCAATTTTAATCTTTTGTCTTTTTTTTCATATCTTTTCTCCTTTTAAATATCTCTGTTCTGTCTTCATTCTCTCTAGTCAACATTGATCTACAAATTTTCAATTCATTGTCAATTTTAATTTTTGTCTTTTTAATTTCTTTTCTCTATTCCATATCTCTGTTCTGTCTTTTTTTTCTCTTTTTAATTCTGATCTTTTTTTTAATTCATTGTCTCTTTTAATTCTTTTGTCTTTTTAATATCTGTTCTCGTATTCATATCTCTGTTCCGTCTTTTTTCTTCTCTAGTTTTCAACATTGATCTTTTGATTTTTTAATTTCTTTTTCAATTTTAATTCATTTTGTCCTTTTTTTTATCTTTTTTTAATATCTCTTTTTGGTCTTTCATTCTCTCTAGTCATTCTTTGATTTCAAATTTTGTAATTCATTCATTCTGTCCTTTTTTTTTTTTGTTTTTTTTTAATTCTTTCTTTTTTCAAGCATCTCTTTTTTAATTCTTTTGTTTTCGCTATTCATTCTGTCCTATTTTGTCTTTTTTTTAATTCTTTCTTTCGTTTTTCATTCTCTCTTTTCAAAATTTGCTTTCTTTTTCCTATTCAAATTTTGTCCTTTTTTTTCTTTTTTAATCTTTTTCTCTTTTTTAATATCTGTTCTCGCATAAATTCTCTTTCCGTCTTCATTCTCTCTATTCAACATTGATCTACAAATTTTTTTTTCATTTTTAATTTTTTCTCTTTTTCAAAATCTCTCTTTTGCATTCTTTTGCTTTCCGTTTTCATTCTCTCTAGTCAAAATTGATTTTTTTCTACAAATTTTGTCTTTGTCAATTTTAATCTTTTGTCTTTTTAATTCTTTTTCATCTCGCATAAATCTCTCTGTTCCGTTTTCATTCTCTTTCAACATTGATCTACAAATTTTTTTCTTTCATTGTCAATTTTTAATTCTTTTGTCTTTTTTTATATCTCTTCTCGCATAAATTCTCTGTTCGTCTTCATTCTCTCTAGTCAACATTTGATCTACAAATTTTTTTCATTGTCAATTTTAATTCTTTTTTCTTTTTAATATCGTTCTCTCTTAAATATCTCTTTTCCGTTTCTTTTCTCTCTATTCATTTCTGATCTTTTTTTTTGTCTTTTTTAATTCTTTTATTTGTTTTCAATTTCTCTTTCCGTTTTTCTTTTCTTTTTCTATTCCCGTATTCTGTTCCTTTTTTTTGTCTTTTTTATTCGTTCTTTTTCCGTTTTCATTCTCTCTCTTTCAACATTGATTTACAAATTTTGTATTCATTGTCCTTTTTTTTTCTTTTTTAATCTTTTTTTAATTTTTCTTTGTTCTCTCTTTTGATTCTTTTCCTCTTCTTTCTCTCTAGTCAACATTGATCTGTCCTTTTTTTGTCTTTTTCAATTTTTCTTTTTGTCTTTTTTAATATCTCTTTCTCGCATAAATTTGCTCTGTTCTGTCTTTCATTCTCTCTAGTCAACATTTTTGTCTTTTTTAATTCTTTCAATTTTAATCTTTTCTCTCTTTTTGATTCTTTTCTCGCTTTTTTCTCTATTCCGTCTTCATTCTCTTTTTTTGTCTTTTTTTAATTCTTTTTTGGTTTTCATTGTCTCTCTTTTGATTCTTTTGTCTTTTTTTTCTTTCTGTTCTTCATTTCTCTCCTTTTTTTGTCTTTTTAATTCTTTCTTTGTCAACATTGATTCTTTTGCTTTTGTTTCCTATTCATTCATTTTTCCTTTTTTTGTCTTTTTTAATATCTTTTCTCGTTTTCAATATCTCTGTTCTTTCTTTCTTTTTCTCTAGTCAATTCATTCTGTACTTTTTTTGTCTTTTTAATTCTCAATTTTAATCTTTTTTTTTTTTTGCTTTCTTTTCTCCTGTCCTTTTTTTGTCTCCTTTTTTTTTTGTCTTTTTTCATTTTTCTTTTTCAAGCATCTCTCTTTTTGATCTTTTTTTTTTTGTTTTCTTTTTTTTTTAATCTTTTGTCTTTTTTTTTTCTCTTTTTTTTATTCTTTTTTGGTTTTCATTCTCTCTCTTTTGATTCTTTTTGCTTTTTTTTCCTATTCCGTTTCATTCTGTCCTTTTTTTTTCTCTTTTTTTTATCTTTCTCGGTTTTCATGTCTCTCTTTTTGATTCTTTTGCTTTCTCTTTTCTTGATTCCAAATTCATTCTGTCCTTTTTTTTTGTCTTTTTAATTCTTTCTTTGGTTTTCAAGCATCTCTCTTTTGTCTTCTTTTCTCTAGTCAACATTGATCTTTTTCCTATTCATTTGTATTCATTCTGTCCTTTTTTTTGTCTTTTTTTTTTCTTTCTTTTCATTTTCAAGCATCTCTCTTGATTCTTTTGTAATCTTTTTTCTATTCCGTATTCATTCTGTCCTTTTTTTTTCTGTTCTTTTAATTCTCTCTTTTCGTTTCATTCTCTCTTTTCAACATTGATTTACAAATTTTCCGTATTCATTCTGTCCTTTTTTTTCTTTTTTCTTTTTTTGTTTTTCAAACATCTCTCTTTTTTGATTCTTTTTGCTTTTCTTTTTCTTTCCATTCTCTCTTTTTGTCTTTTTTAATTTTTTCAAATTTTGATTTTCATCAATTTTAATCTTTTCTCTTTTAATATCTGTTTTCATTTATCTCTGTTCTTTTTTCTTTTTGATTTTTTTTTCATTTTCAATTTTATTCTTTTCTTTTTTAATTTCTTTTTGTTCCGTTTTCATTCTCTCTAGTCAACATTTTTGTCTTTTTTAATTCATTTTCATTTTAATCTTCTCTTTTTTTATTCTTTTGCTTTCTTTCTCTATTCCGTATTCATTCTGTCCTTTTTTTGTCTTTTTTTAATTCTTTTAATCTTTGGTTTTCAAGCATCTCTCTTTTGATTCTTTTTTCTTTCTTTTCCTCTTCAACATTCATTCTGTCCTTTTTTTTTTTTGTCTTTTTTAATTCTTTTTTGGTTTTCAAGCATCTCTCTTTTGATTCTTTTTGCTTTCTTTTTCTCTATTCCGTATTCATTCTGTCCTTTTTTTTTGTCTTTTTTAATTGTCTTTCTTTGGTTTTTCAAAATCTCTCTTTTGATTTCTTTTGCTTTCTTTTTCCTTTTTTGTTTCATTGTCAATTTTATTCATTCTGTCCTTTTTTTTTTCTTTTTTTAATTCTTTCTTTGGTTTTTTAGCATCTCTCTTTTTGATTCTTTTTCTTTTTCTTTTCTTCATTCTCGTCAACATCATTCTGTCCTTTTTTTTTTGTCTTTTTTAATTCTTTCTTTTCGTTTTTCAAACATCTCTCTTTTTGATTCTTTTTGCTTTCTTTTTGTCTTTTCCGTATTCATTCTGTCCTTTTTTGTCTTTTTTAATTTTTCTCTAGTTTTTCACATCTCTCTTTTTGATTCTTTTGCTTTCTTTTTTCTTTTCCGTTTATTCATTCTGTTCTTTTTTTTTTGTCTTTTTAATTCTTTCTTTGGTTTTCAAGCATCTCTCTTTTGATTCTTTTTTTTTTTTTCCTATTCCGTATTCATTCTGTCCTTTTTTTTGTCTTTTTTTAATTCTTTCTTTTCATTTTCAAATTTTCTCTCTTTTGATTCTTTTTAATTCTTTTTCCTATTCCGTATTCATTTCTGTCCTTTTTTTTTTTTGTCTTTTTAATTTTTCTTTCATTTTTCATTTTCATCTCTCTCTTTTTAATTCTTTTCCTTTCTTTTTCTGTTCCGTATTCATTCTGTCCTTTTTTTGTTTTTTAATTTTTTAATTCATTTCTCTTTTTTTATTCTTTTGTCTTTTTTTCTTTTCCGTATTCATTCTGTTTTTTTTTTTTTGTCTTTTTTTTCTTTCTCTTTTCTTAGTCTTTTTTCATTTTTTTTTTTTTTTAATATCTTTTCTCTTTCTTTTTTTGTCGTTTTTTTTCTCTCTAGTTCAACATTCTTTTTGTTCTTTTTTTTTCTTTTTTCTTTTTTAATTCAGTTTTTTCTTCTCTGATTCTTTTTTTCTTTTTTTTTTCCGTATTCATTCTCTTTTTTTTTTTTTTTCTTTTCTCTTTTTTTCATCATTTGCTTTTTCATCTTTTGTTTTTAATATCCGTATTCATTCTGTCCTTTTTTTGTCTTTTTTCTCTCTTTTCCAAAATTGATCTTCTTTTTTCAAACATCTCTCTTTTCTAATCTTTTGTCCTTTTTTTTCTTTTTTTTTCTTTCTTTTGGTTTTCATTCTCTCTCTTTTTTCTTTTGCTTTCTTTTTTCTATTTTTCTTTTTTTTTTTATCTTTTTTCCTAATTCTTTCTTTGGTTTTCTATTTTTAATCTCTCTTTTTGAATTCTTTTTTTAATCTTTCTTTTTTCTAATTCCGTATTCATTCTGTCCTTTTTTTTTTGTCTTTTTTAATTCTTTCTTTTGGTTTTTTTCTAATCATCTCTCTTTTTTATTCTTTTGCTTTTAAATTTTTCTATTCCGTATTCATACTGTCCTTTTTTTTTCTAGTCTTTTTTATTCTTTCTTTGGTTTTTCAAATCATCTCTCTTTTGATTCTTTTGCTTTCTTTTTCCTATTCCGTATTCATTCTGTCTTTTTTTTGTCTTTTTTTTAATTCTTTCTTTTTTTTTCAGCATCTCTTTTAATCTTTTAATTCTTTGTTTCTTTCTTTTTTTCTTTTTCCTATTCCGTATTCATTCTGTCCTTTTTTTTGTCTTTTTTTAATTCTTTCTTTGGTTTTCAAGCATCTCTCTTTTGATTCTTTTGCTTTCTTTTTCCTATTCCGTATTCATTCTGTCCTTTTTTTTGTCTTTTTTTAATTCTTTCTTTGGTTTTCAAGCATCTCTCTTTTGATTCTTTTTTTCTTTTTCCTATTCATTATTCATTCTGTCCTTTTTTTTTGTCTTTTTTTCAATTCTTTCTTTTGGTTTTCAAAATATCTCTTTTTATTCTTTTGCTTTCTTTTTCCTATTCCGTATTCATTTCCTGTTTTTTTGTCTTTTTTCTTTCTTTCTTTGTTTTTCAAGCATCTCTCTTTTGATTCTTTTCTTTTTTTTTCTATTCCGTATTCATTCTGTCCTTTTTTTTTGTCTTTTTTAATTCTTTCTTTGGTTTTCAAAATATCTCTCTTTTGATTCTTTTTGCTTTCTTTTTTCCATTTTGAAATTCATTCTGTCCTTTTTTTTTTGTCTTTTTTAATTCTTTCTTTTTTTCAAGCATCTCTCTTTTGATTCTTTTGCTTTCTTTTTTCTATTCCGTATTCATTCTGTCTTTTTTTTTCTTTTTTAATTCTTTTCTCTTAGTCTTTTTTTTTTTTTTTAATTCTTTTGCTTTCTTTTTTTCCGTATCATTCTCTCCTTTTTTTTCTCTTTTTAATTCTTTCTTTCTTTTCTTTCTTTTCTTTTCCGTATTCATTCTGTCCTTTTTTTTTGTCTTTTTTAATTCTTTTTTTGGTTTTCAAGCATCTCTCTTTTGATTCTTTTGCTTTCTTTTTCCTATTCAGTATTCATTCTGTCCTTTTTTTTTCTTTTTTTAATTCTTTCTTTGGTTTTCAATCATCTCTCTTTTGATTCTTTTGCTTTCTTTTTCCTATTCCGTATTCATTCTGTCCTTTTTTTTTTTTTTTAATTCTTTTTTTGGTTTTCTCTCTCTTTTGATTCTTTTCTTTCTTTTCTATTCCGTATTCATTCTGTCCTTTTTTTTTTGTCTTTTTATTCCTTTGGTTTTCATTCTCTCTTTTGATTCTTTTGCTTTTTTCCGTTTCTGTCCTTTTTTTTTTGTCTTTTTTTAATTCTTTCTTTGGTTTTCAAGCATCTCTCTTTTGATTCTTTTGCTTTCTTTTTCCTATTCCGTATTCATTCTGTCCTTTTTTTTTGTCTTTTTTTAATTCTTTCTTTGGTTTTCAAGCATCTCTCTTTTGATTCTTTTGCTTTCTTTTTCTATTCGTATTCATTCTTCATTTTTTTTTTCTTTTTTTTTCTTTCTTTTTTTCAATCTCTTGCTTTTCTTTTTTTCTTTTTCATTCTCTTTGTCTTTTTTGTCTTTTTTTATTCCGTATTCATTCTGTTTTTTTTTTTTTCTTTTTTAATTCTTTCTTTTTTCTTTTTTCTATTCTTTCTTTGATTTTCAAGCATCTCTCTTTTAATTCTTTTGCTTTCTTTTTCCTATTCCGTATTCATTCTGTCCTTTTTTTTTTCTTTTTTAATTCTTTTTTGGTTTTCAAACATCTCTCTTTGATTCTTTTGCTTTCTTTTTCTTTTTCCATTCATTCTGTCCTTTTTTTTCTCTTTTTTAATTCTTTCTTTGGTTTTCAAACATCTCTCTTTTGATTCTTTTGCTTTCTTTTTCCTATTCCGTATTCATTCTGTCTTTTTTTTTTGTCTTTTTTTAATTCTTTCTTTGGTTTTCAAGCATCTCTCTTTTGATTCTTTTGCTTTCTTTTTCCTATTCCGTATTCATTCTGTTTTTTTTGTCTTTTTTTTTGTAATTCTTTCTTTGGTTTTCAAACATCTCTCTTTTGATTTCTTTGCTTTCTTTTTCTATTCCGTATTCATTCTGTCCTTTTTTTGTCTTTTTTAATTCTTTCTTTGGTTTTCAATTTCTCTCTTTTTTCTTTTGCTTTCTTTTTTCTATTCCGTATTCATTTCTGTCCTTTTTTTTTTTTTTTTTTTCTTTCTTTGGTTTTCAAGCATCTCTTTTTTAATTTTTTTTGCTTTCATCTTTCTATTCCGTATTCATTTGTCTTTCTTTTTGTCTTTTTTTAATTCTTTCTTTGTTTTCAATCATCTCTCTTTTGTTTTGCTTTTTTTTCTACTTTCTTTTTCATTTCTTTTTTTTTTTTCTCTTTTTTAATTCTTTCTTTTGTTTTCAAGCATTTCTCTTTCTTTTGCTTTCTTTTTCCGTATTCATTCTGTCCTTTTTTTTTTTTCTTTTTTAATTCTTTTTTTGGTTTTCAAGCATCTCTCTTTTGATTCTTTTTGCTTTCTTTTTTCCTATTCCGTATTCATTCTGTCCTTTTTTTTGTCTTTTTTAATTCTTTTTTTGGTTTTTCAACATTTTTTTCTTTTTCTTTTTTTTTCTCTTCTGTCTTTTTTTGTTTTTTAATTCTTTCTTTTTCTCTCTTCTTTTTCATTCTGTCCTTTTTTTTTTGTCTTTTTTTTAATTCTTTCTTTGGTTTTCAAGCATCTCTCTTTTTTGTCTTTTGCTTTCTTTTTCCTATTCCGTATTCATTCTGTCCTTTTTTGTCTTTTTTAATTCTTTCTTTGGTTTTCAATTCTTTTGTCTCTCTTTTGATTCTTTTTTTTTTTCTTTTTTCTATTCCGTATTCATTCTGTCCTTTTTTTTTTGTCTTTTTTAATTCTTTCTTTGGTTTTCTAAATTCATCTCTCTTTTTGATTCTTTTGCTTTCTTTTTCTATTCCTATTCATTCTGTCCTTTTTTTTTTTGTCTTTTTTTTCTTCTTTTTTTGGTTTTCAAGCATCTCTCTTTTGATTCTTTTGCTTTCTTTTTCCTATTCCGTATTCATTCTGTCCTTTTTTTTGTCTTTTTTTAATTCTTTTTTTTGTTTTCAAGCATCTCTCTTTTGATTCTTTTGCTTTCTTTTTCCTATTCCGTATTCATTCTGTCCTTTTTTTGTCTTTTTTAATTCTTTCTTTGGTTTTCAAGACCTCTTTTGATTCTTTTGCTTTTTTTTCTTTCCGTATTCATTTTTCCTTTTTTGTCTTTTTTTTTTTCTTTCTCTCTTTTTCAAGCATCTCTCTTTTTGATTCTTTTGCTTTTTTTTTTTCTATTCCGTATTCATTCTGTCCTTTTTTTTTTTTTTGTCTTTTTTAATTCTTTTTTGGTTTTCAAGCATCTCTCTTTTTTTTCTTTTTGCTTTCTTTTTCTATTCTGTCCTTTTTTTTTGTCTTTTTAATTCTTTCTTTGGTTTTCAATATCTCTCTTTTTGATTCTTTTTTTCATTCTGTCCTTTTTTTTTGTCTTTTTTAATTCTTTCTTTGGTTTTCAAGCATCTCTCTTTTGATTCTTTTGCTTTCTTTTTCCTATTCCGTATTCATTCTGTCCTTTTTTTTTTTTTCTTTTTTTAATTCTTTCTTTGGTTTTCAAACATCTCTCTTTTGATTCTTTTGCTTTCTTTTTCCTATTCCGTATTCATTCTGTCCTTTTTTTTTGTCTTTTTTTAATTCTTTCTTTGGTTTTCAAGCATCTCTCTTTTGATTCTTTTGCTTTCTTTTTTCTATTCCGTATTCATTCTGTCCTTTTTTTTTTCTTTTTTAATTCTTTCTTTGGTTTTCGAGCATCTCTCTTTTTGATTCTTTTTCTTTCTTTTTTTCTATTCCGTATTCATTCTGTCCTTTTTTTTGTCTTTTTTTAATTCTTTTTTTGGTTTTCAAACATCTCTTTTGATTCTTTTGCTTTCTTTTTTCTATTCCGTATTCATTCTGTCCTTTTTTTTTTTTTTTTTTTAATTCTTTCTTTGGTTTTTTCAAGCATCTCTCTTTTGATTCTTTTGCTTTCTTTTTTCTATTCCGTATTCATTCTGTCCTTTTTTTTTTGTCTTTTTTTAATTCTTTCTTTGGTTTTCAAATCTCTCTCTTTTGATTCTTTTGCTTTCTTTTTCTATTCCTTTATATTCATTCTGTCCTTTTTTTTTTGTCTTTTTTAATTCTTTCTTTGGTTTTCAAGCATCTCTCTTTTTCTTTTTGCTTTCTTTTTCCTATTCCGTATTCATTCTGTCCTTTTTTTTGTCTTTTTTTAATTCTTTTTTTTGTTTTCAAGCATCTCTCTTTTGATTCTTTTGCTTTCTTTTTCCTATTCCGTATTCATTCTGTCCTTTTTTTTGTCTTTTTTTAATTCTTTTTTTTGTTTTCAAGCATCTCTCTTTTGATTCTTTTGCTTTTTTTTCTATTCCGTATTCATTCTGTCCTTTTTTTTTTTTAATATCTTTTTTAATTCTTTCTTTTTGGTTTCAAGCATCTCTCTTTTGATTCTTTTTTTTTTTTTTTTTATTCCGTATTCATTCTGTCCTTTTTTTTTCTTTTTTTTAATTCTTTTTTGGTTTTCAAGCATCTCTCTTTTAATTCTTTGCTTTCTTTTTCTATTCCGTATTCATTCTGTCCTTTTTTTTGTCTTTTTTTTTGTTCTTTCTTTTGTTTTCAACATCTCTCTTTTTTTTCTTTTGCTTTCTTTTTCCTATTCCGTATTCATTCTGTCCTTTTTTTTTTTGTCTTTTTTTAATTCTTTCTTTGGTTTTCAAGCATCTCTCTTTTGATTCTTTTGCTTTCTTTTTCCTATTCCGTATTCATTCTGTCCTTTTTTTTTCTTTTTTTTAATTCTTTCTTTGTTTTTCAAGCATCTCTCTTTTTGATTCTTTTTGCTTTCTTTTTTTATTCCGTATTCATTCTTCTGTCCTTTTTTTTTCTTTTTTTAATTCTTTCTTTTGTTTTCAAACATCTCTCTCTTTTGATTCTTTTGCTTTCTTTTTCTATTCCTTTGTATTCATTCTGTCCTTTTTTTTTTTCTTTTTTTCTTTTTCTTTTTTGGTTTTTTTTAACATCTCTCTTTTGATTCTTTTGCTTTCTTTTTTTCTATTCCATATTCATTTCATTCTGTCCTTTTTTTTCTTTTTTTAATTCTTTCTTTGGTTTTTCAAGCATCTCTCTTTTTTCTTTTGCTTTTTTTTTCTTTTTTCATTCTTCCTTTTTTTTGTTTCTTTTTTTATTCATTCTTTCTTTTTTCTCCTTTTTTTTTTGTCTTTTTTATTCATTCTGTCTTTTTTTTTTTGTCTTTTTTAATTCTTTCTTTTGTTTTCAAGCATCTCTCTTTTTGATTCTTTTGCTTTCTTTTTTTTCCGTATTCATTTCTATTCATTTTTTTGTCCTTTTTTTTTCAAACATTTTTTTGATTCTTTCTTTTCTTTTCAAATTCATTCTCTCTTTTTTTTTGTCTTCTTTTTCTTTCTTTTTTTTTCAAGCATTCCGTATTCATTCTGTCCTTTTTTTTTTTTTTGTCTTTTTTAATTCTTTCTTTGGTTTTCAAGCATCTCTCTTTTGATTCTTTTGCTTTCTTTTTTTCTATTCCGTATTCATTCTGTCCTTTTTTTTCTCTTTTTTTAATTCTTTCTTTGTTTTTTCAAGCATCTCTCTTTTGATTCTTTTGCTTTCTTTTTCTATTCCGTATTCATTCTGTCCTTTTTTTTGTCTTTTTTTAATTCTTTTTTTGGTTTTCAAGCATCTCTCTTTTGATTCTTTTGCTTTCTTTTTTCTATTCCGTATTCATTCTGTCCTTTTTTTTTTGTCTTTTTTTAATTCTTTTTTTTGGTTTTCAAGCATCTCTCTTTTGATTCTTTTGCTTTCTTTTTTCTATTCCGTATTCATTCTGTCCTTTTTTTTTTTGTCTTTTTTTTCATTCTTTCTTTTGGTTTTTTTGCTTTCTTTTTTTTTATTCATTTGTCCTTTTTTTTTTCTTTTCCGTATTCATTCTTTTGTCCTTTTTTTTCTTTTTTTCCGTATTCATTCTTTCTTTTTTTTTTTTTTTTCTCTCTTTGTTTTTCAATCTTTTTTATTTCTTTTGCTTTTTTTTCCTATTCAGTATTCATTCTGTCCTTTTTTTTTTGTCTTTTTTTAATTCTTTCTTTGGTTTTCAAGCATCTCTCTTTTGATTCTTTTGCTTTCTTTTTCCTATTCCGTATTCATTCTGTCCTTTTTTTTTGTCTTTTTTTAATTCTTTCTTTGGTTTTCAAGCATCTCTCTTTTGATTCTTTTGCTTTCTTTTTTCTATTCCGTATTCATTCTGTCCTTTTTTTTTGTCTTTTTTTAATTCTTTCTTTGGTTTTTTTTTTGCATCTCTCTTTTTGATTCTTTTTTTTTTCTTTTTTATTCATTCCGTCCTTCATTCTGTCCTTTTTTTTTTTCTTTGGTTTTCTTTTTTTTTTTCTTTTTTGCTTTGGTTTTCAAGCATCTCTCTTTTTTTTGTCTTTTTTTGCTTTCTTTTTCCTATTCTCTATTCATTCTTTCCTTTTTTTTTTTGTCTTTTTCATTCTTTCTTTTTTTTTTTCTTTTTTAATTCTCTCTTTTTTTTCATTCTTTTTTTGCTTTCTTTTTTTTTTCTATTCCGTATTCATTCTGTCCTTTTTTTTGTCTTTTTTTTAATTCTTTTCTTTGGTTTTCAACATCTCTCTTTTGATTCTTTTGCTTTTTTTTCCTATTCCGTATTCATTCTGTCCTTTTTTTTTGTCTTTTTTAATTCTTTCTTTGTTTTCAAGCATCTCTCTTTTGATTCTTTTGCTTTCTTTTTCTTTCCGTATTCATTCTGTCCTTTTTTTTTTGTC